GAGCATTTCAAGAAGAAGAGATCCAGTGCTGGGAGGATTTACACAGTTGGGGGAGTGAATGTTCCAAAGGCTGAGTTTCTCAGAGGTCAGGCTGAAGACTAGACTTGATCCTAATAGGCAAGATTGGGAGGGTGTGACATGGCTGAATCGGAGGTTTAGGACAGTTGTTGAGACAGTGGCATGTAGAATGTCGAACAAGAATCCTGGATTCAAGTCCCCTAGCTACCCACATCGCTAGCTGGATGACCTTAAGTAAATCACTTATCTTTGCTGATCCTCAGCTTTTTCAAGTATAAAATGGGACTAACAATGTCAGAATCAAGGATGTAAACCGGCTTTGTTCACTAAAATTCTGTGCAAATGTGAGGCATTGTAGTAGAAACGGGGAAAGCACGACGACCAAGGAGAGAGTGTGACTGGTTCAGGGTGACATATTCTCACTGTGGGAATCAGTACCCAAGGCATCTGTATTCATAGATTTTTGGAGTCAAACAGACCTGGGTTTCAGTTTCGGCTGTGCTCTATTAACTAGTTACTTTGCCTCTGTGAGCCTCCGGTTCCCTATCTAAAATACCTCCCCATAGGGTTGTTTGGAGGATCAAATAAGGTGAGGTATGTAAAGTCTCTGACACATCTTTAGCACTCGATAATTATATGCTATTCTTATTGTGATGGCCCTCTGAGGGGTCTCATTTATGCAAAGTTCAGGAGTGGAGGTGCCTTTTAGGGCTTTTCCACCTTTACAAGGCCCTGTCACTTCGTCACATGTTGAGGCTTGGCTCTTGTCTTCCAAAATACAGCTTCCATCTGAAATGTTTCAACTGGGAGAAATTATTTGTTTTTGCCCAATTTCCTCTGTTCTTATTAGCCTGGGGAAGCAAGCCCATCTCTTTGAGCTGTAAATTGCATTTCAAAGCCTGCATCCCTGGTGGGTTTTAATTAGCTTCAGGGCCCAGCTTTTTTTTTTTTTTGTGAGGAAGATCAGCCCTGAGCTAACAGCCATGCCAATCCTCCTGTTTTTGCTGAGGAAGACTGGCCCTGCCCATGCCCATCTTCCTCCACTTCATGTGGGACGCCGCCATAGCATGGCCTGATAAGTGGTGCCTCGGTGCGCTCCCGGGATCTGAGCCTGGGCCACCAGCAGGAGTGCGCGCACTTAACCGCCACGCCACGGGGCCGGCCCCAAGAGCCCAGCTTTTATGCAGCAGTTGTTTCTCTAGCAGGTAAAGGTGAAGATGCTTACTTGGGAGCCAGTCCTCAGTTTTCTCAAATGTTGTTCTGTCTAGACTGTCACTGCCCAGCTCTTCACTGTCCTGCGGGCTTGTCTTTCACTAGCCCAAAAGGAAAAATGGAATATAAGAACCTTGGACTTAGAGTCAGAGAACCCATGGGGTTCTTGGCCCTGCTACTCACTGGCTGTGGCATCCTGGCCAAGCCCATTCCCCTCTGTTCCTCAAAGTGAGGGCATAGAAGCTCCGTGCTCACATAAGGTCCCTGCTGATAGGACATTGCAGAAGTCTCTGGGAACAAGTCTGGTTCTCTCTCCCCCTCCCCCACTTCCCCTCCTCCCACCACCAAGAACAGTCAGTCACTCTGCCCATGTCTCCTTAGCTCATTGCTAAGCATGGGGCCTCTGGGGACTGCAGACACCTTGCTCTCAATTACACAGCTGATCTGTGAGGTGGAGCTTGGCCCGGTGGGGGGGGAAATAGTTTATCAAGTCAAGCAGCTTCTGCTGAATAGGATGTCAATATTTTCTAGGGCTCCCACTCTAAGCTAGGGGGAAGCTTGGAAGAGCCAAGAAAGAATTACACGGGGAGGATTGAGTTGGGGATGGTTGGTCTGTGGAGGTGAGTGTTTGGGTCAGAGACTAGAAAAAGGTCCCAGGGTCCTCAGCCCCCAGCGGTTCTCTCCACTTAAGGCAGGGCCACAGCCTTAAGTGAGAAGGCTTCTCACCATCACCACTTTCTGGAACATTGTCCTTACCACTTCGTCCCTAACATTTCTTGAGCACTTACTGTGCTCCAGGCCTTGTCAGGCCTGCCTCTAACATTTGCAGGGCAGAGGAAGAGTACAGATGGAAACCTACATATCATATGTCTAAATATTTGAAGCTTATAAGTGAAGTTAACAAATTGTTATGTCCATAACAACCTGGAAGACCATGTCTGAATCTCGAGTTCTGGACTCTGGGCTTCTGTACCTGAACCTAGTAGTTACAGGTGAGCTAGTCTAGGCACACTTCCTTTTCGTTTCCTACCCTCAACTCCATCCCCCACTTTGGGGAGCTTCATGGACATCTGTGTACACACTCAAGCTTTTCCATACCCCCACAGATACCTATGTCCTGAGGCTTAGGGAGTACAAACAGCAGCAGCACAGCCTGCCCTCCAAGGAGTGTGCAGGCCTTGAAAGTAGATTGGGCGCTGTTTAGATGGGGAGTACAAGGGTTGAGTGCCTGGAACATGCTTCGGGTGGACATTTCTCTTTGGCTCTGCAGATTCCTCACCCAGAGCGGCACGTGCATATGCTTCCCAAGTCTTTTCTCTACAGATCAGAAAACTGACCTTCATGTGACATGGCTTCTGGCTGCCTGTCCTTGGCATCGTTCAGAATGTGCTCGAGTCTGACCTTGACCCTCATCTAGAATGAGCCCACAAATGGCAAATTCTACTAACAGAGAAGTTCAACTAGTCAAAGTAATTATTAGATCTTGTAAAGAGCTTTACATTTTGCAAAGTCCTTTTGGGTACATTGTCCCAAGCCCCAGGTGATGAGAGAAAAGACTAGGTAGGGCCAAACCCAAAGAACTTTGCTCACCAGCCAAGGAGTAAGTACTGATCCCACTATAGCACAGGTGTTCAGCAAATGCTTCCTGCTCAGTGGTGTTACAGGCTCCTGGCAGAGGTCTGAGGGAACCTACCAACTGTCATGTCCCTGCCAGATCAGTGGCAGAGCCAGCAATCACCAACAGATTTCTAAACCATCATCCTCCCTTCTCTTCTTTCTATCTCGGTCCACACCCCAGGCCTGGTTAGTTCCCTCCAGCCAAAGCAGGGGGCATCTCCCTGGGCCAAAACTTCTTGGCTTTGAGCTGAACCAACCAGGAGAGAGTTATATGATGTCCACAGAGGAGCCCCACAAACTTCTTGTATACCCATGGCTGGACAAAGAATTAACCTTTGAATGGCTTGTCATCCAGATAGGAGAGGGATTGTCAGAGAGAACTGTGAGGAATGGGGAGCCCAAGGGAACCCACATATGTTGAGCATGTCCTGCTGCACGTGGACATGTGTGTTAGGTGTTTTCATGGGTAATCTCTTGTGTCCCTCACTGCTTAATAAATGTTGATTGAGTGTGAAGGCAAACTGAGTAACAAAAAAGAGTCTGTCCTTTCCAGGCTAGTTCCAAAGCTGGCACCAGCTCCTCCATCAGTAGCAGTGCCATCTCAGCCCCCTTCCTTTACAGACTAGGATGGTGCATACTTGACCCCATTAATTCCATGGAGCTTACTGCAAGCCCATCCTAGGAGCAAGGTCTTCCCCAGAATCATTCTCAGGTCCAGCCTATGGTTCCCTTGCAAACAGTGCCATCTGCTGGTCGCAACATGCCATCTTCCAGGCTGGGAGGATTGAGGAGAAAAGGGTCTCTTTCTCTCATGGGACAAAAGATACAGATTTCCCAGCTTATACTCAGCTCTTCTCTAATTCACTGAAAAGAAGCCCCCTCTGCCCAAAAATATTAGGTAAATAGGCAGGTGTTTACGGTTAGTCTAAGCTGACAGGAGTTTTTATATATACTGCTTGGGGTCTTTAGCGCCTTCTGAAATAGCTCTAGGGTGGGATATTGGGATAGGAGTGCTACAAAAGGGAGTTAACACCAATCCGTGCCAGTGAGCAGAAGACTGGGCCAGGAAGTGTAAATGCCAAGGCATAACTTTAGGCATTTCCTACGGAAATTGAGCCTCCTTTTCCCTTTCCTTGTGGAGCCTGTGTCCAGATGTAACCTGTTCAGGGATGGGGGTAGGAGAGATTTGTACAGCCCTTTTGGGTAAAAGACATTTCTAGAGTGTAGAGAGCAAAGAGTAGGTATAGTATCATCTCTAAGCACAGAGAACAAAATTTGAATGGGTAAGTATAAAAATGGGTAACTCTAAAAAATTAATTTATTAAAAACAATTCTCAGATAAATATGTTGACTTACTATAGTATTTAAATTAGCTTTAGCTCTGGGAAGGAAAGTGATAAAGTTGAAAGAAATGGGCTTTAGGGACCAACTAACCTGGGTTTGAATGCCCATTCCTGGCAAGTTAATGAACTTGTTGGAGTCTCTTTCTGGTAAAATATGGATGGTAATAATAATACTCATGGGGTCTTGGGATTATTCAATATTGCATGCCACCCTTAGCCCACAGTGAGTGCTCAGTGAGTCTTATTTAGCTCATCTTTTTCTAAATGGCTGGTATCAATAAAGATAGCTATAGCTCGGTCCACGTCTGGATCAGACTGAGCAATTTTCATAATGTGGTATTGTTCTAGAGCAAACAGTACTTGCAGTTACCATGTGACCTGTTTGCTGTGGCTCTATATTGAAGGAAGAGAAGAAAAGCTGTGGAAGGTCTTCAGATTTAGCTTCTGCATGGGGTAACGTCTGAGATGAGCATTAAAGGAGGAGTGAGTTTAGAACAATTGGAGTCAAGCAGACCAGGGTTCAAGTCCCAGCTCTGCCATTCACTAGCATTGCAACCTGTTAATGTGCATGTCCTTTCTTGTAAAATGTCCTGGTTCTGCTTATCATGTTTTACCAAATGAGGGATCGTATGTAAAGCACCTGGCATGAGGTCAGCAGCCAGTAAGATGAGCAAAAATGGGGAGGCTGGATGCTGTAGGGGTGTATGTGTGGGAAGGCACAAGGCAATCCAATTTAGCCAGGATGTGGGCTATGGACAGCCCTGGAGCCCAACCCAAGGATCCAGCCTCACAGTGGCTCTCTCTCTTCAGGTGGCCACCATGTCTTTGAAGATCCAGACAAGCAATGTAACCAACAAGAATGACCCCAAGTCCATCAACTCTCGAGTCTTCATTGGAAACCTCAACACAGCCGTGGTGAAGAAGTCAGATGTGGAGACCATCTTCTCCAAGTATGGCCGTGTGGCCGGCTGTTCTGTGCACAAGGGTTATGCCTTTGTTCAGTACGCTAACGAACGCCATGCCCGGGCAGCTGTCCTGGGAGAGAATGGGCGGGTGCTGGCTGGGCAGACCCTGGGTAAGTGTCTCTTCCCGGCCCTACTCCTGGTATTCTGAGCAGTGCCGGCCTTCACTCTCCAGCTCCCCTCTTAGCCCCTTTTCTGTTTCCCCTGCCACTACCCACTACCCCAGTCTGAGATGTTATAACTTAAATACAGTATAACTTACGATGGTATGACTTATGATTTTTAAATTTTGCACTTTACAATGGTGTGAAAGTGATACGCATTCGGTAGAAACTGTACTTTGAATTTTGATCTTTTCCCGAGCTAGCAATATGTGGTACTATATTCTCGTGTCACGCTGGGCAGCAGCAGTGACCCACAGCTTCCAGTCAACCACGCGATCATGAGAGTAAACAACGGATACGTTTTACAACCATTCTGCACCCATGCAGCCATTCTGGTTTTCACTTTCAGTACAGTATTCAATAAATTACACGAGATATTCAACACTTTATTATAAAATAGGCTTTGTGTTAGATGATTTTGCCCAACTGTAGGCTGATGTAAGTGTTCTGAGCACGTTCATGGTAGGCTAAGCTAAGCTATGGTGTTTGGTAGGTTAGATATATCAAATGTATTTTTGACTTACAATATTTTCAACTTATGATGCGTTTGTTGACATTTTCAATTTTCAATAAATATTTTCAACTTTATCAGGATGTAACCCCATCATAAGTCAAAGAATATCTGTAGTTATGTTATATTTGTTATAGATTAAGTAGTTATAAAATCAGTGCCTGTAGGGGAGAGTTTTAGAAGCTTCTGGAAAACACTTCTGTCCTGTCCCTGCTTTCACAGTGACTCTTGACAAGCCTTATGGTTCCAGTTAAAATGCAGATTCCCCAGAGAAAGGGAACAGAGTGGACTAGCACAGCCTATTACATTGGGCTACAGATGGCCTAGGTTAGAACCCTTTCTGGGAGCCATGAGGAGGGGCTGGGAGCGCGAGGTGAAGCAGGTGCCCTTGGCCTTGGTGTTATATACGTGTGTTGTAGCTATGCTGGTGCACTACATTGGAGCCTGTATAGTGTTTGTGCATGTGCACATACTTCTGTGTATATGCGATTATTTGAGAAGGGATATCTATATACATATTCTTGAATATGTGGTATGTGGATGTAAGTGAACATGTGGAGAATATGTGGACACATACCTTAGAATATATATATATGGAGAGAGAGAGAGAGTGTGTGTGTGTGTGTGTCAGTGTCAGAATATACTTGAATGTGTAAGCAGATATGCATATGTTAATTTACCAAATATTTATTAAGATCATATGCTAAGCACTGCTCTAGGCATAAAGATGTTCAGGTAGAACGTTTATGTGAAATGGCTCATTTGCATATGGGTGGTTTTGTATATGATGTTGGAGTCAAGTCTGAGTGTACTTGAGAGTTTATCTGTTATCTGTGTATGTGACCATGTTACCTGGATATGTGAACGTGTTTGTGAGGGTGTGTCTCATTGTGTGTACTTGAGAATGCATGTACGTGTGGTGTACATGGCATGTGTATGAGAGGGATATGTTTGTGAGCATGGATGCATGTGTCTAAATGTATATGAATATGTAAATAGGCATGTCCATGTGATGTGTGGGTATGAGTCTAACGCTTAAAGACCTCTGTTGGCAGTATTAGTGAGTAGGGTCAGTATGTACATCGTGTAAGCACATAAATTGCTGAGCACATGCATGGGAGTGATATATGTATGGGCACGCTGCTGTTCCGCCAGCATTTGACTCTGCCTCCTCCCTCCACACAGACATCAACATGGCTGGAGAGCCCAAGCCCAACAGACCCAAGGGGTTGAAGAGAGCAGCATCTGCCATATACAGGTGTGGTGCTCTGTCTTGTCTGTCTTTTTGTGTGTGTCTGGGTGGGATTCGTCCCTCGTTCCACAGAGGGAGTGAACACTGGTGGTGACAGTGTGCCCAGCATAAAATCTGGGGAGGCATTTGGAGATGAGGACCTGTGGAGAGTGGGCTGAGTGGCCGTCCCTAAGCCCTGGCCCTCTCCCCTTTGTTTCCCCAGTGGCTACAGCTTTGACTATGATTACTACTGGGACGACTTCTACGACAGGTGAGCAGGGGAGGGGCGTGCCCAGGCATGAAACAGCCAAGCTGGAAGGGTCCTGAGAAATTGCTGGTGCAGCTCACTCCGTTCTCCAAGTGGGAACCGAAGCCCTGAGGTGTGGACAGGCATCTGCCCAAGGCTGCTCCACAAGTTGGTAGCAGAGCTAGGACTAGGGTCCAGTTCTGCAGGTGCCCAGGCCAGAGCTCCTCCCATGCCATACTGTCTCCCACTCTCTGACAGCCCTTCCTCCTCCTAATCCTGGGATGTGGGACTTGATGGAACAGGACAGCCAAGGGACATAAGAATGTAGCAAGTTGGAATACAAAACAGGGTACAGGGCTGGCTGCAGGGAGTTTGAGCCCTCATGCTTCTGCTGTTCAGTCTCCTTCCATCTCTGTGGTGCCCAGCCAACTGGAAGGATCCTCAGAGTTTAGTCTGAGCCTCTTGGCCTTATATTTATAGCCAAGAGGCCAGAGGTCCTTTGGAGATCTGAATTAGTCCCTGGTAGGCTGTGGCCCACCCTCCACCCTCAAGCTTACCCACACCCTACCCTTGAGGCTGTGGGCTCCCCTCCATGACACCAGCCACATTCTTGAGTGGAAATCATGGTGGGTTGGGCCATGGTGGGCCCAAACTTCTCCTCTCTGCCTCCTGCTTGGCCTGACCCAGGCTGTCCAGGAAGAACAGAACCTCTCTGAGCCTTGGTTTTCTCACCTATAAATGGTTTCAGGAAATAGTGCAGTGTAGTAGAAAGTGCCCTAGCCTGGGAGTCAGAAGACCTGGGTGCTAATCTCAGCTCTGCCACTGAATGGATTGTGTGACTTTGGGCAAATTCCCTCCCTGTCTATGAAATGGGCTTGCACCAAGTGATCCCTCAGGGCTCTTCCAGCTCTTGGATTCTGTGGTTCAGTGATTCTGACCAAGGCCAGAGCCGCCCTCTCCCCTTGGGGTCAGAAATGCAGGGTCCGGGACTGGGTCCATTACCAGAGACTCTCCATTTCCGGCCATCACTTCCCTAGGGCAGGGCCTCTCTGAACGAAGGAGTGCCAAGGCATGGGACATTGACTTCTGGCTGTCATCAGGAAAGTGATCCCACAGTGTACCCCTGAGGCTGCTGCAGAAAGGTAGTAGCAGCAGTTGTGATGGGAGAGACCCCGGCTCAGCCTACTGAGCTGTTGCCTGATCAGCAGGAAAAGAAGCCATCCTGGAGAGGGCTGGGTAATGGTGTTGGGGGGCAGCATACAGTCTGGGAGCCCAGGGGTCTGATTGAGCTGCCTAACATTGATACTTGCGGGGCCTTGTGCCTTCCACCTCTGAAGTGGAATAAGAAGGTTGCAGTGATTAAGGGGGCCCAGAATGAGGAAAGGGGCTTGGACTCCAGCCTCATGCTTCTGAAGTCATAGGCCCCTGAGTTGAAGGTCTTGGTTCCCTGGCCTTTCGCCTATCACACCTTCTAACATGTGTTTTTCACCAAGTTCTCTCATGCTCTACCGTCATAGCAGCGTTGAGGGGGAGCACAGAATGTCAGGTAGCCATTCTCATTAGGCAAATGGGAAAACTGAGGCTCAGGCAGGCTTAGGGATTGGCCCCGACTCCCACACCTCTCTGTGCTCAGTCGGGAATTTGTGCTGCTTTAGGGAGATTTGCAAACTGTGACCAGAGACTGGGGTGGCAGTTGACTGAGCAGAAGCCAAGTCAGAAAATAAAGCAGGCCTGGGTGTCAGGGTGATCTAGGGAAGGCTCCTTTCTGGGGCTGGTCTCAGTTGGCTCCTCTGTTGAAAGGGTGAGGCTATAACCGTCACCACCTGCCACCTCATCTGTCCTTACGCTGCCTGGCTGGTAGGAAAGGTGGATATAGTGAGGATCCCAGCAGCTATTAGGGTCAGGAAAGCCCTCCCTCTTTACCCGCAGGGCTTGTTGGAAGCAGGCAGAGGTGTGTAGTGCAGGCTGCCCAGCCCTTCACCAGTTAACACATGTATTGGTCTAGAGTCACAGTGCCCCCTGGTGGCCACAGGCCATGCTGCAGCCTCTGGCCTGTTTGTCCTCACAGGCTCTTCGACTATCGGGGCCGCCTTTCACCGGTGCCAGTGCCCAGGGCAGTCCCCGTGAAGCGACCCCGGGTCACAGTCCCCTTGGTCCGGCGTGTCAAAACCACCATACCTGTCAAGCTCTTTGCCCGCTCCACAGCCATCACCACCAGCTCAGCCAAGATCAAGTGTGAGTGACTATATCTTCTTAGATAATTTTTGTTTATGTAATTAGCAAAATAATAGAATCACATTTTTTTACATTGGAAAATAGATAAAGGAACAAATCTTCCACAGTTCTGCAGCTCTAACACAGCCAAGTGAGTATTTTCATGCATTTCTAAGAGGAAAAGGCTGACATTTGAGGAGGAGGGACTTGGGTTGGGCAGAGTCCAGTGCTACGATGTGGAGCCCAGTGAGGAGATGGTGTCATCTTTCCTCTAGTAAGGACAAGGACAGGTCTGCACAGGCCCACTACTCCACATTCACTCTGGTGTGCACACACTGCGATCAAGCACCCAGGAAATCTGATTATAAAACACCCACATTTACACACCTTGAAAGATACTGCCTTTAACACAAGCAGAGACACATAGGCTTACTCAGGTGCACACCACACACCTGCAATATTATTCATCCCTAGTCCCTTTCAGAGTTGAGAAGTCAGGGGAAAAGATCCAGGTTCATAAGGGTGGGCCAGTCACTGTAAGAATGGCTCCCAGAATGTCTCAGGGAGAAGCCACAGGCAGCTCTAGCCTTTTCCCTGGCCAGAAAAAAACCATGGACAAGGACACGGGCCTGCCTTCCTAGTTGACAGAATGGGGCTGGGGTTTTGTGTTAGTGTCAAGCTCCCAGCCCCCAGGTGACAGCCCTCTACTCCCTTCACTCCCAGTAAAGAGCAGTGAGCTGCAGACCATCAAGACAGAGCTGACACAGATCAAGTCCAACATCGACGCCCTGCTGGGCCGCTTGGAGCAGATTGCTGAGGAGCAGAAGGCCAACCCAGGTTAGCTTCTAAGGGTCCTTGCCTAGCTCAGTGACCAGGGCTACAGTGGGGTGTGTGTGTGTGTGTGTGTGTGTGTGTGTGTGTGTGTGTGTGTGTAAGATCAGCCTTGAGCTAACATCCATGCTAATCCTCCTCTTTTTGCTGAGGAAGACCGGCTCTGAGCTAACATCTATTGCCAATCCTCCTCCTTTTTTCCCCCCAAAGCCCCAGTGGATAGTTGTATGTCATAGTTGCACATCCTTCTAGTTGCTGTATGTGGGACGCGGCCTCAGCATGGCCGGAGAAGCGGTGCGTCGGTGCGTGCCTGGGATCCGAACCCGGGCCGCCAGTAGCGGAGCGTGCGCCCTTAACCGCTAAGCCACGGGGCCGGTGGGGCACAGTGTAGAGTGCGGGGAGGACAGTGCACTGGGCAGAGAGGGGCTGTGGCCTCTAATCCCACCTAGATCCACTGTGCTGAGGCCTAGCTTCTGCTAAGGTGCTGCCCTAGACAGCTACCCTAGGCTGAGTTTTATTCTTCTCTTCCCCACCCCTTCCCCTCTCAAGATGGCAAGAAGAAGGGTGACAGTGGCAGTGGCAGCGGCAGTGGCAGCGGCACTGGTGGTGGCAGTAGTGGTGGCAGCAGCCGGCCACCAGCCCCCCAAGAAGACACAGCTTCTGAGGCAGGCACGCCCCAGGGAGAAGCACAGGCTCGAGACGACGGTGATGAGGAGGGGCTCCTGACACACAGCGAGGAAGAGCTGGTGAGGGCATGGCTGGGAGGGACGGGGACTAGACTTTGCACTCGTAGTTGCAGGAGGGTCAGAGGAAGGGGGATCCTGTGAGTTCACCCCTATGAGCTCCCTCCTTCCTGCTTCCTAGGGGTTCTAGTCCTGTGAGGAAGAGGGGAGCATGAGCAGGGAGTACTTACCTATTTCAGCCGCCAGTCAGAAGTCCCACTGAGGACTGGGACAAACCTCTCTCCAGCCCAGGGCCTATTCTAGACCCTGTTTTCCACACGGGTTGGAGAAGGGAAGAGTCGGGCTCAAGGGAGCACACACAGTCTGCAGAGTTCCAGGGAGGAGGACTGGTATTAGGGCCACAGAAAGGTGGGTATCCACTCCACCTGAGGATTTGCTAAAAGCCATTGTTGCCTAAGCATGATACAGGCTATCTCATGAGAGAGTGAGCTCCCCATCTGTTATTGGAATTCTTCAGAGTGAGGCTGGGAAGCCATTTGGCAAGGAGCTTGTATCAAGTGGGAACATAGACCAGATTCTGAGTCTATAAGATATCTGTTGTATGCTTACTATTCGTTTACCTAACAAACACTCACTGAGCACTAGGCCCTGTAGTCCATGCTTTCTAACTTCGTTTAACTTTAACAACAGCCTTGCACTGTGCAAAGTATTACTCTTCCCACGTTTACCCTGTGAGGAAACTCAGACTCAGAGGAGTTACATAGCTTGCTCAGGGCCTTATAGTTAATAAGGGTCAAGCCAGGATTGAAGCCTGGACTTTTTTTTTTTTTCACCAGGTCTGGAGCTTTCTCCTTTTCATCACTGCTGGGTTCCACTGTAAGGACAGATGGTCCTCCTCATGCCCAGCTTGTCTCTCCTACTTTGAACCTAGCCTGATATTCCTCTTACTCTTTAGGCATAGTATTCTCCATAGAGGCCCTAATGAAGGCTTAGATGCCACAGAAATGGGGAAGTCACGAGTCTACCAGGCTTTCAGCTTGCTCCAGTCCGAGAAGGTCTTTCTGTGCAGAAATGTCCCCCTTGCCATGCTTGGCACTTCCTTGACTGGTCCCTTCTCTCTCCTCAGGGGCCCTCAGACCACTCTGTTGGGATCCCAAGCCTGCCTTGTTTAGACTGGTCCCATAGTCATTCTCTTTGGCTGTCTCTCCCCCTTTCTGAGAGTGGTCTCCAGATATGCTCTAGGCCTCAGGGCAGCACTCAGAGCTTGCAGTGAGTGATGTGTGGTCTCTTGTTGCCTCCTCCCTATCAGGAGCACAGCCAGGACACAGATGCCGAGGATGGGGCCTTGCAGTAAGCAGGTATGGGGGGTCCTGGTGGGCTGGGGGTGAAGTAAAGTGGAGGGCATGTTATGAAGCAGACCTGGCAGAGTAGCACTGTGCCCAGCAATGAACGCCCCTTCATTCCCAGCCATCTCGCCACACCCCTTTGTGGTGGGGGTTTGGTGGGCTTTGGGAGCAGGAGCCAAGAATGGGCTATCTGGGCCCCACCCAGCAGGGGTTTCCCTGGCACACTTTGAGCCATGTTGCTTATCTTTACCCTTGAGGAGCTCCGAGTCTGGTGGAGGAAGACACAGACCATTACCACCTAGTGCAAGCAGGATGACAGAGGCTGCAGAGCCAGGGGTCAAAGAGCAGTGTGATAGAAGAGGTGATGTGTAGCTGAACCTATTCAGGATTGAGGGAGAATCATCTGAGGGAACACCCTTAGCAGAGGCACAGAGCTCTGGCAGTCCTCGGTGTGTGGGAAACGGCCAGGAGACTCCTGTGGCCACAGTCCCAGCTCTGCATAGTAGGGAAAGGGAGCTGGTCATCTTCAGAGGGTGATAATTTTTCCAGGCTTAGGGGCTGGGACTTGGTCCTGTTGGGAGGAGATGCCCTGTATGCCAGGAGCTGCCCCAACCCTACATGGTTGTGATTGTGTCAGTATAACAGATGTGGAAACTGAGGCACTGAAGAGGGCAGGGAGATACCACATATCTCCCAAGATCCCTAGGTGGTAATTGGTGGAGCCTAGATTTGAACTCAGTGGTATGCACCTCAAAGCCCACTCTCTGGCCAGTGTTTACCACCCTGCTCTGCCCCACCCTAGAGGGAACCCAGGCCACACCAGCTCTGCTGACTCTGCTCCATTCCTTTGGGGGCCATGTTCAGAGTAAGACAGACTTGGGTGGAGGAAGGTCTCAAACAACAGAGGTGTCTTTACACATGACACATTCGTGGTGTGAGATACTCCACCAGCAAGACTTCCCAGACAATTAAGTTTAGGAAATTGCATATATGCAGTCTTTTTTCTTGGAGCTTCATGGTTTGTTTTACCAGGGAGGCTAAGTTTTACCTTGTTAAGCCTTCACAGATAACGTGCGGGACTCAGATGAGGAAATGGAGGTTCAGGGGATGGGAAGAGACTCTCCCAAGGTTGCATGGCCAGAAAATTATGAGGCCAGAGCCAGAGTGCAGGGATATATCTCTGTCTGCAAACAGCAAACACAATTCTGCCCTTTCTTCTTCCTAATCCCTTAGTCTCTTCTTTGTCTCTCTCATTCTCAGCCTGACAGGAGCGATGGTCTCCAGCAGGAGAAGGGCATGCACTGTACCAAGCCTCAAGCAGGGCATCTGCTCCTGGATTCCACCCCCAGCGGGTCCCAGAGGAGAGCCAGCAGCAGGCACCTCCTCCCTCACACATCCCAGCGAGTGCCACATCCTCTGCAGGTGGAGTTATTGGCCTCCCCTCCCCACACACCCTTCCTGTCAGCACTGCCCAGGCAAGAGGGCAGAGTGCAGAGATTTCCCCATACTCTGCCCCCCACCCCCTGCCAGGACACTACCAGGCTTGGGGTTTTTCTATAGGTTTGGAGAGGGGGAGCCACAGGGAGGGGACCCTAACAATAAAGAGATTGGATCCCACCTTGCTCTGAGATGGGATGGTTTGTGTTTTCTCAAGAAGGTACCCTGGCCCTCTTGCCCAGCCTGCTGCACACCCTTCTCTTCCTTCCTTTACTCCTCCCTTCCAGGGAGCATTGTCTAGGGTGCCTAATACTGATCTGTCTGGGCCTTAATTTCCACAACTAACATAGAGATAAAAATGGCCAGTAGGGTTATTGAGGAGGGTCAGATGTGCCAGTGTCCATGAGAAATCTTGGTGGTTGAAGTGCCAAGCGATTGTGACCCACTTGTCAGGTAGTGGTAGGTCTAGGCCTCAGCTTCTCTCTAAGTCTGGTCTTTCCCAGTTGTAAAATGATTCTAGAATCTGCCGCTTCCTCCCCTTCTCTGTCCTGGTTTAGAGCACTGTTTTTTCACTCGGGCTTCATCCAAATCCCCAGCTTCCCAGTCTTCAGCTTTTCTTTGCCCCATTTCCCACTGGCCGCTGGCCACCACAGTGTTATTTCTCAGTAGTGTCACTTCCCTGACTAACTTTTCACCATCAGGACAGAATCCCAGCTCCTAAGTGTGGGGTACGTGCTCCTGCTTGCCCTGGCCTCTCCTGTCTTTTGTTATCACCTCTCTCTCCTGCCCCCCACACAAACATTATACCATAAACAAAACAAGTCCTTTGCAATCGGAGGCAGCAAGGAATAGAGACCCCTCCAGTCTCCTCACTCAATAGGAAGTTGGCATCAGGATACATGTGGCCTGTCTCCAACTATCTTGGGCCCACCTGTCTAGATATTTGCTCTGTTCTCTAGTAAGTGGCCAGGTTCCTTCAAACTTCTACTTCTGTCTTAACTTCTCCTTAATTCCCCACCACAGATTGACCAATTTCCCCATGTTCAAGTTCCCAAGAGAGAATCAACTTCCACAGCAGATCTTTTTTAATCACTCAGGTTACAAGTACCCTCCCTGGTCCAGTGAACTGGGTGATACCAGTGTGGCTACTTAGGCTCGTCTTGTTGGTACGGGGCTGTGGGTAGGCAGGCACCCAGAAATGCTGTTACAAGTCTGGCATGTACTCTTCTTGCTCCTACTTTCTCCACTTGGGAAATATCCACTCATCATGAAGCTGCTGTTCTCGTGTCACCTTCTCTGAGAAGTCTTCCCGACCAGCCTACTGCTCTTCAAGAATTGTTCATTGTCTTCTCTGGACAGCCTTCTCCAACACAGGAAATTCAATCCCATCATCAGAAAGGGGTTTGGGCTCCTCTCTCCATCTTTACATGTTCCTCAGGCCTGCTAGGATCCTTATTGAAAATCCCGTTTCAAACCAGCAGTTCTACAACATAGCCTCCACGAAACCTCCCCCTAGGCTTTGGCTCCAGGTTTTGGTAGAAGATGGAAGCTGGGCTTGGGACAGTGCTCAGTCTCCTTTGGGTATGGAAACCCCCAGGGAAGTCTTTGTTGTATCATGTCTCCCTCCCTGGGCAGTCCTCCTGCCTGCCTGCAGGCCAGCACTCGGAAGCCCGAGGGTAACTCTGCATTCCCAAGCTATGCAGGAGCCTGACTAGCCAGCTCCAAGGCAGTCAGAGGTCTGAACCCACAGCTGAGCCAAATGCTCCCATCCCTGCTTAGCCATTGCCTGTTGGTGTGATTTGGAGCAATATTTCTGCCCCTTCAGAGCTTTAGCTGCTCAGTGGGATCACAGTCCCCATATGTCTGCCTGCCAGGGACCCTGGGCAGCAAGGAGAGAGAGGGTAGAGACTGAGGCCTTCAGTCTGAGAGATCCATACCTGGGGTGAAAAATAGCACCTTGGAACTTGGGCTGGGCCGTGGCCCAACTTGATCAAAACAAAAGGCTTCAGTCTGGAGAGACGAAGAGGGTGTCCAGAGGAAGGGGCTAGGTCCACAGGGGGTGTCCCATCCCTCCTGAAGAGACCTCAGTGGAACATATCCCTCCAATCCTTGAACCCATAACCTTTCCTTGCTGCCCAGAAGGTCAGAGCCCAGTTCTAGCAGACCCACTTGTATACCTGGGCAGGTCTTTGTGTCCCCACCTGTACAATGTGGGGAACTGCTGCCCTGGACTAGAACGTGGCCAAAGTCCAAACAAGGGGTTTTGGAGCCTGGTGAACTTCACACTGAGAGCTGGCACTGTGTTCCTGTGTCCCGAGAGCCTAGCGCTGTGTGCCCATTGCACTGTAATGACGTTTCCAGACTCTACAAGGCCCTACTCAGTAGTGCTTGACAGAGGCACTCACTTTTCAGAGCTTGGGGGACAGGTAGAACAGCAGGGGTGATGGGCTTCCTTAGTATGCTAGGCATAGAGGGCCATGAGAAGAATAGGGAAGACCCCTTCCAGGACAGGAAGCATCTGTCCTACCCAGAGGCTCTGCTTAATGACCCTGGTGCCAGGACATATCCTAGACAGAGTGAGAATGGAATTCCCATTTAGTACCCCAGAAAAGCCCCTGAACTATTTCAGCCCCTGGGAAAGCTCATAGTTGGGCCCTTGAGTGGGAGATGCACATCCATAAAACCCTGCATCCATATGCCCACCCTCCCTGTGTCTTGGGCCAGGAAAGACATCTCCCCTTCCATTGCTCAACAGTTATAATTTTTCTTTCCATCCTCTGAAAACCAAAAGGAGATGGTGAAGAAATGTGATACCAGATTCTGCCCAAAGGACCAATATTCTCTAGACGTTTTCAAGATGGGTAGCCTTGTTTGTCATCCTAGTAGCCATCTTGAAGGAATATCACAAAACAGTGGATTTACTGGATTTTAAGCTAAGGCTTCCCTCCTGTACTGCTGCCAATAAGGTTTGTGACCCTGAGCAAGTCTTTTTGCTTGCTGGGTCTCAGTTTCCTCATCTGTATGAGAGGTTGGCCTAGGTCAGGGATAGTAAATGGGCCTTCTATCAGTTATTAACTACTGTATAACAAACCACCCTGAAATTTAGTACCTTTAATAAACATTTATTAGCTTCCTGTTCTATGGCTTGGCAATTTGGGCTGTGCTCAGCTGGGTGGTGGTTCTACTTATCTGGGCTCTTACGTGGCTGAAATGAGCTGACAGATTGGCTGGGGGCTGGTGGTCCCAGGTAACCTCACCCACTTGTCAAGTGGTTGGCTGGGTGACAGGGGCAATTGGCCCACAAGTTTCCAGCATCTGACAGGCAAGACGGTTCTTCAAGCTCCTGCTTGTGTCGTGTTTGTAAGGTTCCATTGGCTAAAGCAAGTCACATGGCTAAGCCCAAATTCCTCTTAGTTTGAGGAGCTTCAAAATATGGCTGTAATTTGTTTTTAATCTATCTCAGGCCTCATTTCACTTGCCGATTCAGAACATTTAGTAGCAGTTGCTGGAGTGCTTTTTGAGGATTTGGAGTGGTTTTTAGTATTAGGAAATAGTAACATGATAGTTTGGTCATGTTTTTTATGGGCAAGCAACTAAAATGTGGGTATGTGAATGTAGGTATTAGCCAACCCTGGCCAGGTCATATTCTGTCCCATAAGGACATTATATACTATGCAGTGGGCCATCTGACGAGACCACAGAAATACACAAGGTAGAGCAGGGCAAAAGATTCTGAGCCAGGCATCCTGGGTTTGAATCCGACTTGGGCCATTGATTAACTTTAGACAAATCAAAATCCCTCCACCTGTGGCCACATTCTTCATAATAAAATTATACCATTATAACAATGAACCACCTTTGTGATATAGTGTGAACTTTTGGTTACAAGTAATAGAAACTGAACTCAAATGTGCTTAAGCAGGAGGAAGTTTACTGTTTCACGAATTGAAAAGTCCAGGGGTAGATCTTCAGACCCAGTGGGACCCAGGGGTTCACGAGCTGCCATCAGAAATTCCTCTGTTCCTCAGCTCTGCTTCCTCTGTTGATGTTGTTCTCAGGCAGGTTCTAAGTGGTGGCAGAGCATGGCCACAGGGCCTGTGAAGATGGAGGAGGAGAGGGGAGAATCCCCAAAAGGAAAATACGAGTTCTTTTGCTGGAAGAAAGGAGGCTTGGGCTGATAAAAACAATAAATTTTCATTGTGTAGTTATGCCCATTTTATAGATTTTATAGATGTAGAGCTTCTAAAACATGGCCCCATTGACAGGTAGTGTCTATATCTTCTCCCCTTTATCTAGACTCTGTGACTATTTGATCAATAGAATACTGTGATGGTGATGCTATCTATGCCAGTCTCCCAGTCCTGTTCTTAAGAACTAGCAGTTTCCACTGCTTGTGTCTTGGGACCCAGCCACCATGCCCAGGCCACGTGGAGAGGCCATGTGTACATGTTTCCAGCTGAGAGCCATATCAACTGTCAGACATGAGTGAGGAGGCCTTTGAGATGACTCCAGCTCAGCCCCTGTCTGAGAACTGAGTAAGAACTGCCTAGCTGACCCCAGTCAAAGCCCAGCACCATGAGGGATAATAATCAAATGAACATTGTTGTTGTCTTAAGCTACTCAGTTTTGGAGTGATTTGTTATGTATCAATAGATAACCAGAACACAAACTGAGACTCAAAGAGGTAAGTAGCTTGCTCTGCTTTAGGGGGACTTGGTTAAGAGTATAGACTTTGTTGAACTGAGTTCCTTTCCAGACTATTTGTTGTTAAGCAAGTCACTTAATCTCTCTGAGTCTCATCTTCCTCATCTGAAAAACAAAGAAAAGAGCACATCCTTATTATGACAATATTTAATAAATGAGAGCACTTTATTATTACCTAATCCAGATTCAGGTGATTGTTCTCTCAAAAAATAACACCATAATTTTCTTTCCTTTTTTTGTTTTCCTACTTATTTTTATACTCATCTTGTTCCAGTGCATTTCAGGCAGCTTACAAAGAGAAAGTCAACAGAATATTATAAAAATGAGGCAAAGGAAGATAATAGCAAGAAGGCCTTTTTTTTGGTGTTCCGATCAAACTATGAGTTACTGCAGTCAAGGGCAGTGTGTTGGTCCGTTCACTAGGCCCATGGGGCAAGCCCAGCTGGCTCTCCTGCTTGTATGAATGAATGGACACCTCCCTCCTCTG